CAAAGTAAATACAACTTCCAGTTCAAGGTCACCCTCAGTTCCACATATATGTCCCATGATGCTCTTCACTTTCTTAATGGATTCTTATATAGTTGCTAAAGTGGGTCTTTAGTACATTGCAGTGTGATATAATGGAGCATTTATTCAGCCATCAAGACTTTGTTCCATCTTCTAAATATTGGAATATGGATCTGATAAACAAAGTCCTTTCTTATGGTACAGGCACCAACAATTTGATGTTAAATTTGATGCGCTAAACACACATCTTCTATTTTAATTAAATTGTATTTATAAAGCATGCCAGTATATTCTGAAGCCTTGTCTAACATAACAGAATTCAGACAGCTCAATGGTTAGCAAATCTTACATAAAGTTTAACAACATAAACATAGTTACTGATGGGTACAGAAGGATAGAGACTACTGCTCTTGTGAGCTTCTAATTTCTGCTTGTTTTGTGAGATAAAAAATACAACAGAGATGCATTATACAATCACATTTGCTAACATGCACAATCAAAAATGTTCAAGGAATGCTTACATAATTAGCTTTTGTTATACATATTTTATACTCAGTGTCCTTGAATTATACCTTTAAAGGGTATTGAACAGACAGAAAACACAAATTCAAATACTTGTTTTCTGCAAAGTGCGGACGTTCAACTTGTTTATATATGGTTTATTTTTTAACCCAAGACAAAAACAATTTAAATAATTTCATTATGTGTTGGCTCGACCATAATGTCACTGTGTTTATTTAGTACACAAACTAAATAATAATATATAGCATCATTGACACTCCATATACAATATAATATAACAACACCAGTGGAAAAAAAAAACAACAAAAAAAAACTACGTGCAAAATTTACATTTTAAAATTTACTTTTAAAAATTCACACAGTTATACCTACTGAAAACAATAAAGAAGGGCAAATACAAGTTCATCAAAATACATTTTTTTACATTTTGATCTTGAGAGTTTCTTACATGGATTTCCATCTAATTTTGGGACAGTGCATTTTCCGTGTCTTGATATTCTTATTCCATGTGCATTTAAAGTTTGGTTGTCAGGTTCAGACACACAAAAGGAGGTACTGTTACTATAACCCTTTGATGTGTGTTTTTGAATCTTGCAAAGTCTGACCTCGAGAAAATCAAATGATGAAAGTGCTTTCATTTGCTCATGTCATCAAACTAAATATTTTCCTCTTTTGGAAAGCAGCTAAATGACCAGTCCCTGTGGAGTGACCCATCTGTTTTGGAAATTTCCTCCATAAAGGTCAGTTTGGCGTTTATCATTTAGATTTTTGGAGTAAGACATAGCTGCTTATGGCATCCTGAACATACTTTTAAATTTAATTCATATGGTCTGTTTAGGTCACAATATTCTAGCCAGCAGCCTCCTAAGTAAAAAAGATGATTTCAACCATATCCAATTCTTCTTCCATGGTATCTACAGCCTTTATTGTCAGCTGTTACTATTTTTTCAGTTGCTTGACTTATTCCTGAAGGTTATTCTATCATCCTTGGCAAACCACTATATTGTCTTCAGTATGGTTTGATTTACTGCTTCAATATAGATCATGGAAAATATTTTTTTATCAATTCCCTTTTGTAACAGATATCATATACTCGTCACCTACAAAGGGCAAAGATTTGCAGGATGTAATGTTGTCAAGCATGTCCAAGGACTGGTGTCAAGAGAAATTTGAGTAATACTTATTTGTATTGGAGACCATTTTGTTTTTTCATTTGAGACTAAGCTGTCTCAAATGAATTCTCTGGACTTCCTGTCTGCTACAGCAGGTTCTCTTATCTTTCTGGCCTGCTAGTCTCTTCGTAGCATTTAAAAAAAAAATTGTACGCCCTATTGTCAGAGTCAACATAAACAGATATTATCGTAGAAAAAGCAGATAATTGTTCCAGAAAAATGTGAAGTATTGCACAGAACTTGTATAAACTGCATCTTTAGTTGTGTTTTTCAAATACATATTGATGCATTTTTAACTATAAAGAGCAAAACGATTGTAGAACTATGTCCTGTAATTACAGCAATTATCTCTATGCATAGATGTTTATTCACTAAATATTACATTTTGTGAACAGAAAATTGAATTGCAATATTTAGGCAAAAAGTGCTGATTATGAAAAGTTTTCCAATTCATTACTATAGTCATAGCATGCCTTTCCTAGCTTAAATTTTAAAATTCAGTTTACAATTCACTACAATTTGTTTAAAGGAGCACTATAGGGTCAGGAACACAAACATATATTTCTGACCCTATAGTGTTCAAGCCCCCATCTAGCCCTCCTGGTCCCTTCTTGCCTCCCTAAATATAGTAAAATCGTACTTGTATTCAAGCCTGAAGCTGCTGGCTCTGCCCCTGTCTGCCTCAGGCCTGCAAGCTGTCTGCTGACATCATCAGAAGTGTTGTTCTGAGCCAATCACAGTGCTTCCCCATAGGATTGACTGAGACTGTCAAACACAAGTCAAACACAGTGAAACACAGCCCTGGTGAATCAGCATCTCCTTATAGAGATTAATTGATTCAATGCATCTCTATGAGGAAAGTTCAGTGTCTGCATGCAGAGGGTGGAGATACTGAATGTTGTGATGCATACTAGGCAAGACTGAGATGGGAAGCAGCTCTAACAGCCATCTAAGGAGTGGCCAGTGAAGTTATCACTAGGCTGTAATGCAAACACTGCATTTTCTCTGAAAATGAGAAGAGAAGAGTGTTTACAGCAAAAAGCCTGAAGGGAATGATTCTACTCACCAGAACAAATACAATAAGCTGTAGTAATTCTGGTGACTATAGTGTCCCTTTGAGGAAATAAATACAAAATTATAAAAACCAAAAACAGAGTCACTAATAGAGGTGTATAGGTGAAAAAGCAGCTATTATGGTGAACCTCACAACACCACTAAACCAAAATAAAACAAGTACTTATACACCTAACCTTTTGCAGTGTGCTGTTCCAGGTCCACTTTGGGAGGAGACAAGCCAGACCATATTGCTCTCTTGTAAGTGCAATTTTAAGCATTAAAGTGGCAGTTTTTACTTTATTACGCTATTGCCTTTCTTTTATCATTTACAGTTGCCAGCTGAAATACCTACTACATGCATAACCCCTTTTATGGGGAGACAAACCTGAATTGCCAGACGTCTTGTGAGTTTTCTCACTTGCCCCTTCCTTACCCTTCTTTTTTCTGTACTGTATAACGCTATGTGCAGTTTTTGTTCTCTTGTAGATATTATATTATCAGGTGGTATTTATTCTCTTTAGTGTGGAGCTGTTCCCCTTATACTGTGTATAAGTACTTGTTTTATTTATAGTGTCCCTTTAATTAATAAATAGTAAATACTTACTGCATCTCACTGGTACTCAAACACTCATCACAGACTCACAGTGAGCAGATAACCAATCAGGTAAGGCTCACTATTTACCTATCTGAGCACTCTTATTGGTTGGCTTAAATTTGAATCAAATTGCAGGGCATGGGAAGGCTTTGTAAGTCTGCCCCCACCCTGCGAAGCTCAGTCTGTGTGGTGCCCTCGCTGGGTAAAGATGGATTATTTTTTTAGCGTTGGGATTTTTTTTTGGCATGTTGTTTTTTGTGCTCTGGACTTTTTTCTGTTTTGAAAGTTCGACAGGCTATATGGATTTTAATTTGGCCTTTTTTGGGCTGAAAAAATAAAGTTTTAGAAAAAAAGAAGACATTAAATGGTAAGTATTTTTTTTTTATTTACAGGTAGTGTGACGATACGGACTAATATCGCCTATAGGTAGTTCCACTAACTTGCACAGCTGATCACTATACTAAGTGCTGTGACCTGGGCTTGGAGTCCCTTTATCCACCAGCATTCACATTAAAGCAGATCTTGTATAGTTACAGCAAGGAAATAGACAACCAGCTTTTATCTTGGTACAAACAGCAACAACCTTTATTTTCAAACAGCATACCTAGATTGGCCAGGAAAATATATCAGCATGGGGGGAGGCTCTGCATCTTGTGCCATGTGACACATTAAAGTCTCTTTTTGTCACAGGTCATTAGTTTTTTTGTTCCCCCCACAATATTTTTAGGGTGAAGGGGGTAGGTAGGGCTTTATTTTATTTTGGAGTGTTGGTTGATTAGGGGCTTTGGTGGGGGTTGGGGGGCAATAGGTCCTCCCCATTGTCACTTAAAGCCCCCACCCGCCACTTATTTTAATCTCCCTTATGCTAATGAGGGGGTCATATTGACCCCCATTGAGTGAGGAAGGACATGGGGGGCTTAGGAAGTGGCAGGGAGCACTGCTTTCTGCCACTTCTATGTTTACAAAGTACAAGGAGGGAGCTGCAAGCTCGTAGCTCCCTCCTTGTAATAAAGTGAACAAATGAACACCGACATTCGGTGCTTGTTTGTTCGTATGAAACTTCTATTCATTCGTCTTTCTGATAAATGCATGAGTAGACAAAATTCCCATCCGAATTTCAGACCTTCATCTGCCCACACCACCTAGGTCAGGGCACAAAATAAAGTTAATAAAAAGGTAAAATGGGGGGATTAGGGGCATTTGGGTGTGACTAGGGGAGCAATTAGAGGTAGTAGAGTCGGGAGGGGGGTTAAGAAAAAAACAGATGCGGCCATGACAGTGCCCCTTTAAAGGAGGCTGTTGCACTAACATCAACACAATTTGGCAGAATAAAGATCATAGATTTTTAGAGTTGAGCTTATTCATTATTGTGATACATTTACTGTATGTGTAAGAAATATAGTTATCAACCTTTTTCACGTAATATTTGCTAGAGGCAAATTAATCATAAAACCTGTATTATAGTAACATACACAGCATTTTTTTTGTATTGTTTGTTGGGAGATGTTACATGGATATAATCCTTCACATATTATAAAGATATAAATTATAAAGACAACTTGCAGTGATACCATATTTTCTGTTACACAGCGTATATATTGTGGAACAATGTTTTTGAACATGTGTGTAATAAAGATTATTTGTATACATCAACTTTTTGCCCTCTTTTATTGTAATAAAAGAGGGCAAAAAGTTGATGTATACAAATAATCTACCCCATATGCAGATTCCGGCACACCACAACCGACTGGTGCTTACTTCTAATTATATTCTAACTGTATTATCTCATTATTACGGCTTATTTCCCTGACTACAAATATGAAGGCGTAGCCTGTAATTGTGAGAGGGGTTACCCGGCTATAAAAACTCAGGCCCCCTCCATGACAGAACCGTCACTGCTGGGTTCATCCCTCCCACCTCTCCCCTTTATTACAATTTAATGGGTGGGCCCTCTTTTATCACAGGCCTACCACACTAGTCGGTTCCGGCACACCACAACCGACTGGTGCTTACTTCTAATTATATTATTATTGTATTATCTCATTATTAAGGCTTATGTCCCGACTACAAAAAAAAATAAAAAATTATATATATATATATATATATATATATATATAAAAAAAACAGAAGAAATGAGAGCACTCGCTGGATTTAGCAAAAAACAGTGAACAAACCAATCAACGTTTCAACCGTCTCGCGGTCTTTATCAAGATGTCCAAACAGTGTACAAAAAACATATGTATATCATAAAATATCATAAACTTACCCAATCACCAAGTGAACCCTATTAGATCCGGTATTCCCTGTGTCAGACGCAAAAGTGCACCCTCCCCTACGTGCGTGATGACGTCGTGTCATGTGATGTAAGAATACTATGTTGCCTACTAACAGAAACAACATGATGAATGTGAATCGTGCACGTTAAAAACATACACGGAGGACCTAATCGAGAATAAAACTGTAATATCAGAAAGATAATATGAGTGCAGAGAAATGTATATACACACATGAATGCAAAAGAAGCTCTGAAAAATATCTACTGTTCGGCATGCGGTCTGAAATGTGAAAACTATGTGTAATCTATATGAACTAATGTGTGGATGTATGAATGAACGTAAATGTGATACAATGTCAATCTAAACGACAGATATGTGTCAGCTGTGAAGGAAACAAGGACAGTGTACAGATCCCCATACATAAACAGATGTGGGAAAGAGAAAAAGTGTGCAAACAAACAAACAAAACGACATGAATCCACATGGCATGCAAACATATGGACAAATGTGTCTAAATATAAAGTGATAGTACATATAAAGTGGCAGTGAGACCAGACACCTAATGAGGCTATGAATTAAAGCCTCTGCAAACCAAGAGTCTACTATTGTAAATCTAATGAGCTTCTACCTAAAAGTTGCTGAAATCAAAGGCACCATAATTATTTATATCGCAATCTATTTTTAAGTTACATGTTTTAGCGAACATTCAAAAAACAACTAAATGAGTTATATTCATTCAGTCCTTTCAGTTGAACCGTGTCAAGATATTTAATCCAGAAAGTTTCTCTCTGTAATAAAACTTTAGATCTATCACCACCTCTGACCAATGGTGGCATATGGTCAATAGCAATAAATTTCAAGGTTGGTAAACGGTGTTGAAATTCCAGAAAGTGTTTCGCTACTGGCTTCTCAGTCTTTCCATCATGAAAGGCCGTCATAATCCCTGATCTATGTCCTCGAATCCGATCACGTACTGTCATATCCGTTTTACCCACATAGTACTTGCCACAAGGGCATGAGATGAGATAAATAACATGGTCACTCAGACAAGTTAGCCGATGTTTAATCTGAATCCTTTTACCTGTATGTGGATGCGCAAATGAAGATCCTGTAAGCATGTGTCCACAAGTGACACAGCTTGAACACTTAAAGCACCCTTTCCGTATATTCTCTGCTTGAGGACTATAACAACTTGGTGTGTCTTTTTTCACCAAAATGTCCTTTAAATTTCTATTGCGTTGAAAAGCAATCCTAGGATGTTGAGTGAATGTGCTATTCAGCGATTTGTCTGAAGAGAGAATGTCCCATCTCTTTTTAATGATTTGTGAAAATTTCTGACTTTCAGAATGAAATTGTAGTGGAATCGTGATAATCGGATCAGTTCTTCTATGTCTTGTTACTGTTCCTTTAAAGATTCTTTCAGCCTTCTCGAGGCACCTCTGTAAAGTATCACGTTTATATCCCTGTTCCAAAAAAGATCTGGTCATGTCATCCAGTTAAGCTGAACAAATGCCGTCATCAGAGTTATTTCTAAACACTCTTAGGAATTGTGAAATGGGTAAAGAATTTTTCAATGCATTAGGATGAAAGCTATTGGCATGTAGCAAAATGTTGCGATCTGATGGCTTTCTGTATAATTTGTATCCTATCTTCGAGCTGTTACGATATATTTCCACATCCAAGAACTGAATCTTGTCTGTATTATATGTGAGACTTAATTTGATGGGTGAATCCAGATTGTTAAGTTCCATGATCATGTTCTCTAATTCTCTAATTCTATAGCCCTTCCACAGAATAAAGATGTCATCCACAAACCTATGATATTGAATCAGCTTCTCCTGATATTTAGATAGTATATGCGTACTTTCGTACGCGAACATAAAGCTGTTGGCATATGTTGGAGCTATTGCTGATCCCATCGAGTGTTTCACAATTTTTTATTTTATTCAAAAAATCTTGCGTACACAGACATGTATGTATCTGTGTCACTGTGGGTTTGCAATAACAATCAACGAATTTAGCTACTGGTTCTAGAACCCCTGCTCGAGCAGATACAATTAGTCTGCCGGGTGGGTTCTTTAGATCTTTGTGTATCTTAGGTAAGGTGTAAAAAATCTGAATTTCGGATGTGTATTCAAAAGGAATTCTGCCATATTGTGATCTAGCCATTGAGCTGAAACCCCTAGTTTAATCCAATTCTGTATTTTACTTAAGATCTTATTAGTGGGGTCAAAAGATAATTTCTTATAGGTCTTCGTATCAGCAAGCTGAACCAGAATTTCTTTTCTATAATCTGCATAATCCTGAAGAACAATATAAATATATATCCTCTAGACCAGGGGTAGGCAACCTTTTAGCAGCACTGTGCCGATATAGGATTTTGATGTTCCGTAGCGTGCCGATCCTATTTTTTTAAATTGAGGTATGTATGCTGCCGTATTCTGCTTGTGTTATTTTTACTGTAATTGCTTTGTATCGTTGTATTTGTGCGTATATAAGCTATTATATTGTATGTTCATTAGCAGTTTATGTTATCGTGTATGATACATATGAATGTGGGCTGTGTATGGGGGCTGCTTGTGGAATTGTGTGTGGATGGATATGTCCCATTGTGTGTTTGGTAGTGTGTGGGGGCTGTTTGGGGTATTGCATGTGAGAGACTGCATGTGGGATTGTGTGCAGGTATGTGGATTTGTTAGTGTTGTTGCGTTTGTGGGGATTGTGTGTAGGCTGTTTGTATTATTTGTATGATGGGAGGCTTATTCTGCAGGTCTTTGTATATCTAGCAGTGTGAGTGGCTTCCCTGGGTTCCAGGCTGGCCAGGTACAAGTCAAGGACAGGAGCTGCAACAGCAGCTGCTGGCTGCTCTACTACAGTGTGGATTCCCATTCACAAGTGCCAGAATAAAGTGATCTGAGATAATTTCCTCTACGTGCTGCAATGCATAAATTGAGGGTTGCCCTTCACTACCTCTTTGTATTAGCAGATATCTGAGACTCCTGATAGCGCCAGAGCCTGTTTGGCTCTAGCAGCCTTGAGTGCCGTGGAAAGACACCTCGAGTGCCGTGCATGGCACTAGTGCCATAGGTTGCCTACCCCTGCTCTAGACTGTAAGATTATTGGAGCAGGGTCCTCATCTACCAATTGTTCCTGTAACATTTTGTAATTGTCTCATATATTGCTAAATTTCCCCTTTTTAGAATATTGTAAAGCACTGCAGAATAAGTTGGCGCTATATAAATATCAATCATAATAACAATAATGATAATAATAATAATAATAATATATATAATTTAATAGTAGTTAACTTTTATCACATGCTTTTGTTAGCTTGTAACTCACATATCTATTTTTTGCTAGAAACCTAGAAAAAAAATAGAAAGTGATCTGTAATGTACCATAACACCATGGCAATATACCCATATCACACCTATTACTATTAAATAATTTGTGTAAATAGAATATGTCTAATTCCTTCAGTGGGGCTCCGATTCCTAGATATCTAACAAATGCAGGATAACACTCAGTTAGACTAAAAATACAAACATCTAACTTTTGTTTGAATTTAATTTTGAATTGAGAATACAGAATTTGGCAGAATATAATTTGTAATTTTCATTTTATGTTCAGGGGAAAATAAGTAAGTTCAGCTGTCGGTGGCATTAATTAAGGATTATCTATCTGAATAAAATTAAATACATTCACAAATGTGTGTCCCATTTTTCTCACATTGTGTATTCTCAATGAAACATTTAATAACATCTTATTTAAACTGATGTAAATTTAATCTCCTTTTTCCAAAACAGATATTTTCCTTAGTTTTTTAGCAGTCCATTAGCCTTTTCTCTTATCATACATGTTTTCAGATACTTTATGGTATACATAAATATTCTTGTTTTTTTTCCCTATTACTTAAAGGGACACTATAGTCACCTGAACAATTTTAGCTTAATGAGGTTGTTCAGGTGAAAACTATAGCTCCCTGCAGCCTTTCTCATGTACACTGTATTTTCTGAGAAAATACAGTGTTTACATTGAAAGCTAGGAACACCTCCAGTTGCAGTCACTCAGAGTGAACCAGATGGACAATATGCCTCCATCCACTCAGATCTGCTGTCAGCAGAGCACAGGGCAGCACTGTGCACAGCATTCTGTGATTCAGTATCTCCTCCCTCTGCATGCAGACACTGAACTTTTCTCATAGAGATTCATTGATTCAGTTCATCTCTATGAGGAGATGCTGATTGGCCAGGGCTGTGTTTAAATCATGCTGACTCTGCCCCTGATCTGCATTGTGATTGGATCAGGCTACCACATGTCAGCAGACTGCTTGTTTTTCTGAGTCTAACAGCATGCAGATTTACAGCTTCAGGCTTGAAAACAGCAAGATTTTTACTATATTTATGGAGGCACGAGGAGCCCAGGGGGGCTA